GAGAGTTTTCCATCGATAGGATGAGCAATGCACCGGCCAACAGGTAAGTCTCCAACCCCACGGCTGCCCGCTGCCGCTTCCCGCCGCCGTAGACGGCCATCCCCCTTCTCCAAAAAGTTTTTTTGGGGAAGGGCCTGCCGAATTTTGAATTCGGCAGGCCCTTCCCCCCCAAAAAATTTCGGAGGCGGGGCGCGGCCGGTTTCCCAAGTTGTACGCCCCGGTCGTCAATTTTGTCGGGGTGGGGGCCCGCCATTTGAAGGAAAACCATTAAAAAAAAGAAGAAATCCAGCACCCCTCGTTTTGGGTGTGCACTGCGCTCGGTGCGCAAACCGGCGCACCGTGGTGCGCCGCAACTATGTGCATAACATATCTTTTTTTCTGTTTTCTTTTTTTTTGAAGTCAGATTTTTTTGGGGGGAGGGGGGTGGGCGGATCCGGACATTTTGGACCGACCACCAGACATGGACATCCAGACCCAGACATCTGCACTGCGGTCCAGACATCTGGATCGTAAACATGAAAGGTAAACAAAATTTAACAAATACATTATTGACAGACTAGTGCTGAAAGCAACGTCTGTCGTAAGTTCCATGTTTGGGAACATTTACCCAGAAAGAAAGTAAAGAGGCCCAAAAAAAAAAAAAAAAAGTGAATCGCAGGATAGAGGGTCTATGCCAACGATAATGAACGTATACAAACGAACTTTCCATTCGGATATGGTCAAAATGAGGGTGTGTTGTGTTAGGGGGAAGACGGTAGGAACTGCTGCCCTCACCTCAATGTCCATGATCCAACAGACAGACACAGGACACAAAGAAACAAGCCATGACCAAAAATCAAAACCAAGCACACATACATAATGGTATTGATGGTACATATTAAGTACTGTGAATTGCTTTTTCTTTCTTTGCAAACCGCTCAATCAGTTATTTTTTGTACATTCAAATAAGACTTGTGTCCTTGTGGCATCCTTCACTGCTAATGAAATTTTCCCTGTGCTGTGACTGGGATTTACCAAAGACCAGGCTGTTGTCAGCCAGATACGGGTGGCCATGGCTCACCAGGCAGAAGACGAGAACAATCATGAAATGCAGATTCGTCGGCGAATCTTTCTCCTGGAGAAAGCAGGGGAAAGCACAATCTTCAGTGACCGTGAGGATCAAGAGAATTGGGGTAAGATTTACATTCCGTATCCACTTCCTCGTCATCATCCCATTGTCGCACTTCATGTGGGTGTGCCGACTCTGCAAGCAGCGACAATGCCTGGGCCCGGAAAAGAGCCTGCACGTGGAGCAGCAGCTACTGGATCTTCTGCAGCCAATGTGATCCATGCAAGGAAGGGTCCAGACCTTGTTCCAACCGTGCTAGCGGGCCGAATTCGCTCGAAGAACCTTCAGTCAAAGCTGCTGCGAAAGCCCGAACGATATCTTCTCCTGGATGATAAGCCATTGCAGCTAACGCTCTGCTCCTGTCCCTGCCACTACTCCTTCGCTTCCTGCCCTAGTCTCTGCGTCAACCCTGGCAAGAATCCTGCCAACTGTTGGATTAGGGGGACCCACTCCAAGGGTACCGGGGACCCACAGTCGGCAATGTTGGTCCCAGGGGGAGGTGGCGGTCTAGGGGTTAGAAACCAGGGGCCAAGAGGATCTGATCTCCTGGGCATCCAACGTCACCACACGTGGAATTACCTTGGCCGGACATCGGCAACGCAGATCCATGCTCATCTTGATCATCATCACCATCACCATCATCACAGCCTGCGAGATGCAGGCGTCCCAGGTGCCGAGTACAACATAGTTCGCCTTGACAAGAGGCCCAAGCTATCCCTGGCTCCTTTGGATGTGCTTGCAGTCACTAAGCTGGCGAATACAAGTGGGACAGCTGCAGCACAGCATCATGGCAAAGTATCCGGGATGCATTCAACGGAGACAAGCGAGGGATCAAAACACTCAAAAGCACTGCCTTCTCCTGTATTCAGCCATGTTGTGGGGGAGGAAGGAAAGGGAGGAAGAAGTTTAACAACACAGGAAGGACCTACTTTTTCTCCCTTGTATAGCAGGTCCGAATCGTGCCCAGTTTGACTCAAGGCGGCCACTTCCCTTCACATTCAACATGTTATTGTTCCAAAGATTCCATGCTCCCAACCCTATCAACCCCACACCCCTTATCCTTCTCCTTTTTTTTTTTTTTTTTTTCTTTTTTTGACAACGGCCTGTGCAGATCTGCTAGGGAAGGTGATAAGAGCAGCCTTCCCTAGCAGCCTGCTGGTAGCCGCTCCATCTATTGGTGGGGAGCTTCACCTGCTGGAAATCGGGTCGAGCGTCCCTTGAGTACACAATTGAGTACATAGTTATCATAACACCATCGCAGCAAAGTAGGTTTTTCAGAGGGTGGATTTTTTTATCAAAACCGGTCGCGCGACAAAAAATGTGTGATCGCGGCCTACCGGTCCTTCGGCAGTTTCTACGTGGCGGGGGGGACCGGTGGTTTAACGGTGTACGTGGTTTAGCTAGCCTGACTGGTGGAGAGCTAATGATCTGTAGTACAATGTCAAGTAAGCTCAAGTTCCGTTACGGCAAGCCGAATGTTAGCGAGGCACTGAACTTCCCTTAATTTTGTTCCGCGCTGTTAGCCTGATGATGATCAATAACAAATTAGTGCAAACCCTCCTCTTACAAATGCCATAATCATCCCAATGACTATCCCCCTCTTGCTTTTTTCTCCCTTTGGTTTGTCTTTTCATCTTTGGTTTCCAAATCAGCGCCTTATGGTCCTGGATCCTATTGTTTCTGGGAAGAATCAGCCCTGTTGCTTTTCCACCTGCAAGTCTCCGAAAAAAACTACAACCAGCGTCACAACATTGATTGCTCTGCCACGATTCTGTCCAATTCTTGAAGGAAGACAACTTCGGGAACCAGGAGAGGAGAAGAATGAAGAAAGACAGTAGAAGAACACAAGAACACAAGATTGAACCAATCTCGTCTCCCTCCTCCTTCGCCCATCACTATTGCCGCCACCTCCTTTTTTTTTCTTTTTTTTTTTAATTTGGAAAATTTTGGACCAGTTCTCGATTTATGTGTGTCATCCTTACGCAGGGGCCATGCTAATGTTCTCTGTATCGTTCCAATTTTAACGGATGTCCTGAAGGACAACTGCCTCTTATAAACATTGATGAAAGAATGAATGAAGAGATACTGTGCAATCCCGAGGCCTTTGTAACCGATAAACACTGCCCCCCCCTCAACGGTAAATCCCCTCTCTTGTTTTTCCCTTCTTTTGGGGGGGGACAATGCTCCAATGATCCAATCTATTCGTTGACATCAGCATGCGTAGGGAATGGGGTCCAGCATGCCATATGGAAATATACAGAACAATTTGAGATACCAGGCCCATTACCCGGCTTCGGCTGAGAATAACAGGAACATTCACGTGGGAAGTACTGAACCATTCAGAAAATCCACAAGAAACCTACCGAATGCCAAGATACCGGAGTGTTACCCAACAGACCAAACGGAAACTCACCAAAGCTGTCATATACCCCCTCAACATGCCCAGGCTACAGGGCAGGGCAATCTGCCCCAGCTCTGGCCTCCGTCGTCCTGGCATTACAGGTTCTGCGATTACAGGAGTATTCATGAAAAGTTTGTGTTTTGAAAACCACCATCTCTATCACTCAATGGCTAGACAACCACCCTTTTTCACTTTGCTGTCATTACCCTGGAGTATATACAGTGCCATAATCCCAAACTCCACGACATCTCCACGCGACACCAGGAGCACTACTGCTTAAACCACCAGTACCTTTCCCGTATATCGGCCGCGGGCAGAAAAAAAGGCCCGAAACGGAATATGCCCCGCCAATCAAATTTATCAACAATGGCCTGATCCTGCTTGGCTTCCGAACATACCGCCGTATGTTTGATTTTTAAGCGGGGAAAGGTAATGGTGGTCTAAAACACCCTAGAAGCCCCCATTTCTTCCATGTGCTCCAAAATAGCAGCCCATGGGAAGCCCGTGGGAATGACACCCACAGCAAACACTCTCTGATCCCCCTTGCCAAGATACTGGGACCAGAACTCCTAACATACATTCTCATCCCAAAAAAAAACTTGTGGCTCCCTGTGTGTATGTGTGTGTGTGTGTGTGTGTGTGTGTGTGTGTGTGTGTGTGTGTGTGTGTGTGTGTCTGTGTGTGTGTGTGTGTGTGTTGTAGATTTTCACCATAACAGCCCCTGTTCTACCCAGATACTCATATCCAGAATCGAAGCAGCTTTACCTCTTTTGCAAACAATGAAGCACACTTGAGAGGAGCCAATCCGACAATGAAACAGTTTACCTCCATAGCGAGCAACATGGAGCACAGTAGATGCATGTGTGTGTGTGTGTGTGTGTGTGTGTGTGTGTGTGTGTGTGTGTGTGTGTGTGTGTGTGTGTGTGTGTGTTACGTGTGTTTGTTGCTAAGAAATCGCCAGAGCATTTGTTAGTGAAGGCCGCTATTGCTTTCTGCCTGCTCTCTTGGTTGGGGGTTACAGTCAGCATGTCTACCAGATTTCTGCTGGCTTTCAACATGTTAGCCCTGATCACCTCCAGGATTTCAGCTTTGGCTTGGTAAAAGCCAAAGGCTGCATATTGGCGCTTTGCTGCGCACCTCATCCTCCAGTTGACCATGAGGAGGGCAAGCCTCATGTGTTTAAAGAGGTTAGTTTGGAAGGGTGTCCAGGTGGTAGGGAAGCTTCTTCGCTTTCCCAGCAGGATGAGGGCAACACTCCAGTGAAAAGGTGAAGCAGTGAGCTTGTGCCACATCGCGTCCCATCATTGCCACACCCGCAATGCCATGGGGCACGCCAGCAGGCAGTGTTCCAAGTCAGCCCGTGCCGGCTGAGCTTCGTCTCCGCATTGAGAGCATATGGGGGACAGGATACCTGTTTGTTCTAAGTTAGTCCAGTGTTGGGAGACAGCGGTGTATAATCTACCACTGCAGCGCCCTATGCGAAGTTGGGATTATGTTAGCGTATGCAAATCACAAGCTGGCCGAAGTACAGGATAACGGTGCGCTAACGTGGAAGAACTGGGCCGCACAGGACCACTTCTGGACCTACAGACCGGCCGAGTGCTTCCCCACACTGCCCCGGGACAATCCAATGGGGCTGTCACTGTGCTGCACCTGGCCGCAAGAAGGCAGGACCGAGCCCCGGACGTTGGGCTCAGTCCCCCCCGCTCCCACCGGTCACAAACCCCCCCTCTACCATTCCAACACCCCTCCCCCATACCGCCTCCGCCGCCCCCTCCTCCCGCGGCTCCCTCACCCGATTCCAGTGGACTCCCCACCCCCTCCTCTTCCTCAGGAGTCAGGACCCCCCCCCCCTTACCCCACCCCACCCCCCACCCCGCTGCCGTCCCCCCCCCCCGTCCTCTACCTCTACCCCGCTCAGCCTGCAGCCAGCCGGTTCACCCAACACCAGCAGCTCAATGACGAACCTAAAAACAACATAACAGCCGCAAAGGGCCTTCAAGAGACACTCACTCCAAATACGGAAATGAAGGCAGCAAGGTGCCTCCTGCTACAGGGGCTGGGGGAATCACACCATGTCTGCCGTGCTGCAATTACTGGTGAAAGACAGGGCCGCTCTTGCGGAAAGAGTCTATCAGAACCAGCATATACTGTAACCGCTGATAAAGGAGTTGACGGCTGTGTTGTGTCATGACAGTGGGACACGGGATCAGTCTCCCGCAAGGATGTACTAGCTCAATGTTCAGGGAAGGGCTGCACATGGGACGGGCTAGAGGAAGAGAGGAGCTTAGAGCCAGGCAGGGTAACTTAACAGCAAGCTACGGCCCTGGACAAAATGTACAGGAAAGGATGTTGTGTAACGATGCATCCAAGGGACGCTGGACACGGTTTCCAGCAGGTGCCACTCCCCACCAATAGATGGAGCAGCCCGATAGGCAAGACCTCAATTCCGGTGGTTCTTCGCCACACAGGCTTTCGAAACACGGTCCATCAAAAAAGTTTCGAAAGGAGTCAGAGAGTTCAGCCTCGAAAGGCATTTCGAAGAGGCACGATCGTCCCGCCTGTCTTGGCCATTCCTTCAAAAGCCCGCTTCCAGTCTTGCGGAAATGCTCCTCTTGTGGTCCCCCTGTCAGGGTAGCTACCCTGACGACCATGAGCTTTGTTGTGGCGTCTTCGAAAGTGGGCTTTCGGAGACGGTGACGGGATTGGCGCAGAGGACGGACATCCAAGCAGGCAGTTATCAATTGTGGATACCCGCCCCCTTCGCCACACAGGACCGAACCAAGAACATCCCGGGTATAGAAAGGCCGCCTGTGCCGAAAGTCTGTGTGGCGAAGGGGGGGGGTCTTTCGAACACCAGCCTTTCGAATTCCTCCTCACGAATCTCGAAAAAGGCCCCGTTTTGAAAGGCTGTGTGGCGAACCCCAGAGAGAGAGAGAGAGAGAGAGAGAGAGAGAGAGAGAGAGAGAGAGAGAGAGAGAAAAATGCAGACACACACACACATGGGTCTTTGCTAGCTCACTAATGGTTAATAGGTGGTGTCATTTTCGGCGAAATTTTCACCGAAACTGCCATATTTCCCTGAATTTTTGCCTTTTATCTTGTTCCTTTTTGTGTTTGATGTGTATGTGCTTTGGGGTATATCGGTATTTACTGTCCAGTTTCGACGTATTTGGACCAGTAACAAAAAAGTTGGGAAAAACACCAAATTCGGGGGAAAATTTGGCAAACTCAGAAAGCTAGTCCGAATAGGGTTTTTTAGTGCTTTCGAGTTTGTTTTTTTGGTTTATTTTGCCTGTTTGTTTTTTTTTATGTTTGTAACTTTGTATTATGAGCCTGCATTGTTTGTTCGTGAAATTTTTGACGACATTGCTTGTGATCATCCGGCCATCTCTCTACTAGCTCTCGGTTGAGGAAAATCAGTGCGGCTGCTGTAGGGAAGTGGATTTTACGGCTTCCATGGATTCTTGTCGTTAGTGTCAGAGATTTGAACTAGACAGTCTGCTAGGATTGCACGGTTAAGAGGTCTGTACGGACTACAGACTGGTTTTTGGGGATTGGCTAACTGTAGATCCATCCATTCCCCTGCGTTCTATGGTAGACTTTCCGGATCCTTTTCCCCCTTCACCATCATCCATAGTTGCCAACTCTTGGTTTGGGAATGAAGATTGTAACTAGTCTTATGAAGGGTGAATTGTAAGGACCTGTCCAACACAGACTGAGAACACAGCTGATTTCTGAGTTTTGCCGCTACAATGAATGCCTTGCTGAGATTCCCGCTTTCTGCTGAGTTTTCCAAGTGCGTGCTTGATGGTCTGTGTGCCTGTCTGAGTGCTTGACGACTTGAGTGTGTGTGTGACCTGCAAGGGTATTTGCTTGCTTGTGAGGCCCCGTAGGGCCGGTACTTACCTGTGGCCATGACATTGAGAGTTGCAGCGGGGAAAACACTCAAGTGACGGGAATAGGCCCGCAACACTTAGGGCAGCATAAAAACACTCAAGTAGCAGGTAGGCTGGTACCACACCAAGTAGTGGTAGAAGTGTCGGGTACTTGAGGCCGAGCAGAAGAAGACAAAAGTTGGCATTTTTAGAGGCCCAGTAGTTGTAGGCTAGGTCTAGGCGAGTACCAGTCCAAGTAGTCCGAGTCTAGGGCCTGTACGGGCAATATCAGAGTCTGCAATGATGTTTCCCTCCGAAAGGGAGGAGGTGCCGGATGCTTGGAGGCCGCACGGCCTGGAAGTCACCGCCCAAGAGGCAAGCAAGGCGCTATATCTCCAGGACGAGCGAAGAGGTCCTCCTCATTTGCAGCGTGCAAGTTTGCAGTTACGCGGCTGGAGCGCTGGTGTGCAGCACTGTGTGGGGAAGAGAAGTGCCCATTTCCCCCACCGTGGCTATGGTGGAGGAGCTCGGGTAGGAGGAGGAGGAAGAGGAGGACTAGGAAGGGGGAGCGCCAGAGGTACTTACCTGGCTATGGTGGACGCCATTTTCATCAGCTTGGTGGTGGACGCTGCATCTGGAAGGCCCCATTGGGGTAGAGCTACATCAAGAAGCTTTGAGGCAGAGTCAGGCATGACGGCCTGAGCAGGAGCAGCCATAGCTGCTTTGAGTTGTCTTTTGCAAGTCAGGGCAAGGCCCTAGTAGTCCGCCATAGCCTCGGCCTTCATCAAGAGGAAGGAGAAGGGTGGCCATGGCTATGGTGGACCTCATGTGGTGCCTGCAGTAGAAAAGGGATTTGGACATTGATTCTGGTTCGGCCATTCATCATTATTATTATTATTGATTGTTTGAATAAGAGGGGAGGAGAAAAGGAGGAGTTTGGTTGGCGAGAAGAAGGGAAATATCATTGGTCTTTGCTGGTGTACATTGTCTTCTTCTTCTCTCTTTCTTCTTCTTCTTCTTCTTCTTCTTCTTCTTCTTCTTCTTCTTCTTCTTCTTCTTCTTCTTTATCTCTCTCTCCTCTCAAGCTCATTGTACTTTCTCGTGAATTTGTACTTCGAAATTGGCCTATATCATAACAGAATAGGTTTCGCTGTTTCTTTTGAAAAAAGAGAGAGTATTAGGAGGGCATTTCAAATTAAGTGGGGGTTTTCTCTTAGTTGGCTGCAAGAAATATACTGGTGCTGATTTGGCAGATCAGGCGCCCCTCAGTGGGGTGAAGAGGTAATTGGGCAGCCCACACTTCTATGCCTGCTCACTACATGATCACTATTCTAAGAGTATTCTTCAACAATTTTGTCATGATCTGCTGTGTGACAAGTCTCTCTCTCTCTCTCTCTCTCTCTCTCTCTCTCTCTCTCTCTCTCTCTCT